ACCTCTGACACTACTAAATATAAATATAAATACATCTACTCATTGTGCAAAGATGTCAATACCTGTGATCACTAATAGGCAGCAGTCGGCCAAAACTGAGTTCTCAAATTAGTGAGTGTGACACATTTTATGCCATCACTAACAAGTGTTGTCACCATAACAGCTAACAACCATTGCCATTTTCTGTTTAAGTAGTCAAAATACCATGGCAAAAAGTTTAATGTCCTCTCTGTTTATTTTATTTCTATTGGCCACAATTCAGCAAGCAACAGAACTGCCTCGTTGCTTTGGTTGACCTGATTTAAGTGAAATACAGAATTTTTGCCTGAAGTGCCTAACCTAAAATATGAAGCTAACAGGCGAAGACACGTGCAGAGTCAAAGGCTAGAAACCAGACTTTGGGCTTTCATATAGGAACACGTTGTTGCCAGGAAACATTTTAATAAAGCTGTGTAGGTGTTTGTCCAGAAAGTGATCTAATCAGGAGCATCACTCAAACTGAAAATTTTCTGTTGTCTTGCATTTGAAATACAAGATGCCTTTCTTTTATCTCTCCTCTCTGCTCTCTATCCCTCTCTATCTTCTTTCCTTCCCACTTTCTCCTCTCTCATCTTTAATTTCCTCCTTCCCTCTCTGCCTCCCACTATCCACCTCTGCATCTCATCTTTCACCTCTATCTCTGTCTCTCCCTCCCTCTGCCTCTGAATCGCTCATTTTTCCTTATCTCTCCCCCCACCATCCATCTTTCATAAGCTTCTTTACCACGCTGGAGCAGTAAATTTAGGCATTGCCTGTATTGACACCACTTAAATAGCTGTAAAATAAAAAATACATTCACCTTCGCCCTGCAGTATACCATAGATGCCAGCTACTGTGCATGGCTTTGCATCTGTTCTGACAGCTACATTTCTGCATCAGACGCACTTCACTGATGTTTTATCCAGATCTATCAGTTTGAAGTTTGCCTTTAAAGAGCTGCTGTATATCTTCAAGGAGTACAGATTATTTTATTTATTTATGTATTTTGTAATATAGCACTTCGAGTTGAGCTGTGTGGTACAGAAATAGGTTTTACAGCAGCTTACATGAGCCAGGCCAATTTGACAGCATCCCATCTGATCATAGTGTGAAGGCAGACAGGTGGAATAAAAGGTTAGAGAAATGGTCAAATCTCTTCTCTCCCCCTGAGCTCAGATGGATTAGGTGTTGACACGTGTGTGTGTGTGTGTGTGTGTGTGTGTGTGTGTGTGTCCAGCTCCTAAACACACAGTCACACCAGCTTATAAAATAGAGAAATATCTTGGTAAAATCAATCCATCCCAATTGATCTGCCTTAGTGTTTTGCAGAGAAATGAAGTGAACTTTGGCGCAGTAATTTGAGCAGCTGACCATTTGCTAATTGTCTTGACAGTGCTAACCTTTGAGGGAACAGACAGTCTTAAAATGGAGGGAAATATTGTAGCTTTAGCTGTAGTAACTTTACTGTTTCATTTAAAGTGTAAAGACTGTGTAACTTTTGCTGAACAGTGACCACTGTTGTCATGTGGATATCAGGACAATAGTACAAATACTACACCATGCTAAACATAGAACAAGGAGTCATAATGTCAGCAAACTAAGACATAATCTAACTTGACAAGTTGTCAAGACTTATTAACAAATTAATTTTTCTGAATTTACCAGCTACACAGGAATAAGTTTGCTGATATATCTAACATTAGCCACCATAAGCAGCTAGTCATACCCACATACTGTAAAAATTATGGATGTAGCCACCATGATGTCAGCCACTGGTTTGTGGACTGCCGTTTTGAAGTCTGGAGTTCGGCATTACAGTCGTTGCCATCTTTTTGTTTGTTTGTTTGTTTGTTTTCTGAGCTGGAAGTGACCTAATCTCTCAAGACAGATTCTGCAATTTATATTGTAGAATCTGTCGAGGAGGGCGGGGCTTTGAGGTTGAACAATGCTGCGCTTTAGCCAATCACAATGGAGGGGGCAGGGCCGAGACGTGCAGGTGTCCCCAGGAAATAGCAGGTGTCCCCAGAAACAGCAAGCTCCGTGTCCATGGCGACTGCTCCACCCAAAACGCCGTCAAGTCAACGTGAAAAACATGGACAACAGCACAACTTACAAGCGTTGTGAATTCACCAGCACACCTTCCACTTCTCACGACAGGAAAAAAAGGGCATTAGCAGCAACGTTTTTACCGCCGTTTGGTTCGAGTTGCAGGTAGGAATGTAACACTGGGGGCACCGCTGGAAGTGAAGGGGATGAGCGATCCCACAGGCCCCTGCACTTCCGTTAGTCGAAAAACTCCAGGCAGTGCCTCCAGAGGTAATGGAAGAAAAAAATTATTATTAATTATTATTTTTTTTTTTTTTACCGATGGATTTTCAGATTGGAAGTGACCATATTTGGGCAAGAGGGCAGAAATGTGGAGGAGCGAGGGGTGGATCCGATTGAGAAGCTAAGGATACTGTTGGCAGTTAGCATGTCACTTAAACCAGCCATACTCTTAATTGCACGTAAAATGTTTGGGGTGAGTTATATGAAAATTCACCCCCAGCACAGTTGTCATGAATCTGGAAATTAGCTACAGAGACCAAAACTGTTTTTTGTACCAGGCTGTAAACATGTTAATTTCTGCTGTAAAGTTGGACATTTTAACATGGGGGTCATAGGGATTGGTTCTTAGTGTCAGCCTCTAGTGGCCATTCAAAGAACTGCAGTTTTTGGCACGTTTGCTTCAGTTTTCAGCCCTGGAGGTTGCGGCTTGGTTCTGATTTATTCATTCAGTCATATTTATTCATTCAGTCATCTCTCCCTCATCCACCTCCCGATCTAACGCTTCATGAGGTGTGTTTGGAACCAACAGTCCACTGTAGCTCCATATTGCACAAACCTCAGTCTGCCCACTTATGCTCCAATCAAATGGATTGAATTTAAATCCCTCTAGTAACTGTACACCAATCAAATACTATTTCAGTGGGAAGTAGGTCACAGAAAAGAAGCTAAAGACACCATAATTTCCATTGAATTGGGACTTCAGGTCATTTTATCCCCATTATTTAAGTTAGCCGCTCAGCTGGCGGGTGTCCACTTCCTTTGTGGACCCAGCGATGTGGAAGGTACAGGTAATTTTATACCTGGGAATTCAAATTTTTTTTGGCTTCATGCGCCACTGATCAACTTCCATGGGGATGCTCTGAGCCCCGCCTCCAATCCTGTGTCCAGTTCTCTTTATACATTCGTGCAAACAGCCTCTGCCCCCACGGTGCAGGCATTAGCTTTAAGCTAGTAAGTGAAGTATGCACAGATCAGGTAGCTTATGTGTAGAATACAATATCTTGAGTTTGATATGACGAGAGTACCAAGTATGGGTGTGTCTTTATGTGACCATGTATCTGTGTGTGTGTGTGTGTGTGTGTGTGTGTGTGTTCTATTTCAGTGTGCATCAAGCCACAGTGCTCCCTATATATAAATGCGGACAGATTTTTGATAACATGCCAGTAAAGCTTTTTAGCCAAGGCTTTTTGTCAGCTCAGGTATACTAAGTGCTCTCTCTCTCTCTTCATTACTTTCACTCAGCGCTGCTATGTCCCCAGCCCCTTCACGCCCTCCTCCACTCCTCTTCCTCCTCCTCCTCCTCCTCCTCCCCTCTCTTTCCCTCTACCTTCACCACCACCACCACCCTTCTCCTCTTCTCCTCCTTTTGGCATTTATTTTCATCCTGCCCTCTCTACGTCCTTGTAACATTATGCTGGTGCCTCTCCACTTGCATGTTTTTCCTCTTTTATCGCTCATCAGCGTCTCAGAGATGCTCACCGCCTCGTCGCCACCAAACCACTCTTCATCTCACTTTAACTTGTCTTGTCTTTTTTCCCCCTCAGTTCTCCTTTGTTCCTCGACTCCCTTTGTTTTTTGCAGTTCTTACACACTCATTTGTTCCTCCTTTGCTCTTTCATGTCTTCCCTATTTCCTTTCTCCCCTGAATTCATTTGCCTTCTATCCTGCCTGTCTTACCTTCATTTTTATTCTTAGTATTATTTTCTTACCCTATTTCCTCCTTGCTTCCTTCTTCCCATGTCTTTCCCTTTCTTCTTGTTCCTTTCCCTCCCCATTCCCTCTTTCCTCTCTACACATTTTCCCTTTTGTTTTTCCTTTTTTTTTGTTTTGTAGTACCTTCCCTCCGTCTTCTTTATTTCTTACCTTTTTCATCCCATTCCTTTCTCCCTTTATTTGAACTGTCCAATTTCATTGTTGACCTGGAGTCAACAATGAACTGATTGGATTTTGGTGGTCAAAGGTCAAGATCAATGTGACCTTGCATCTGTCTCATTCTCGTGAAGGTGATATCTCAAGAACACCTTGCGGGAATTTCTTCAAATTTCAAATTCTAGTTTCATATACTTTTCCTGATCCATTTGCCTTGGGTTTGTAGTTTTTCTTATGTCTACGCTTCCTTGACTTCACCACTGTTGCTCCTCATTGTGTCTTTCCTGTCCTCTTCCCTCTTTGTTTTCCTCTTCATCCCCCTTATTTCTTCTACATCCCATCTTTTCTTCTATTTTCCATCTATTTGTTCTTCAATGTGTGTGTGCTCTTTTCCTTCCTTTCCTCCTTTTTTTCTCCTTAGACTCCTTTCTATTTCATTGTTCACTCAGTCCTCACCTCCTCCCTCATTTTCCCTCTAATCTACATACTTGATGGTGGAAAAGCCAGTAATATAAAAATGTCAAATAAAATAATATGTCTCTTGTGGCTCTGTCTCTCCTCCCAGGCCACCCGCAAGGTCTTGTGCATTTCATTTTTGGCTCTGGTATGCGTTCACTATATTGCATTTATTCATGAATGTTCTTTGAATGTTTATGCAACATGCTGCTTCCTCGTACCCACTCACCTTTGTCTCTTTCTTCCTCTCTTTACCACTTTCTCTGTCCATCTTCCTCCCTCATTTCTTCTCTTCTTGTCCTCCACCTCCCTCCTGCCTTCCTATCCAGACTGGCAGGTTGCTACCCTGGCCCTGTTGCTAGGGGGTGGAGCCCTGGTGCTGATGTCATTCCTGGTCGCTCTGGTTGCCGTGTGCATCGGCACGAGACGGCGGTTCTACGCACCCGTCGCCTTCATGCTCTTTGCTGCAGGTCAGTGCACACACAATAAACTGTAGTCTGTACACAATCACGCCAGTCCTGGGTCGAAGGCCACACACTCATTATGTGCTAAAATACACACAGCTAATGACACACACTCTCACACACACACACACACACACACACACACACACACACACACACACTTAATTAGCCAATTTAGACAAGGTAACTGGAAGGTTGCGGGTAATCACATTGAAAACTGACATGCATTTAAATGATAATCCTTACTTACTCATTAAATAGGCACACAGACTACACACACACACAATTCCTCTTTCCCTCAAACTCATTTAGAGAAAATCCTATTTTTATGAGTCGGGCCCGGCAGGGTTGGAGCAGAGTGTCACGCCTGTCCCTTTAATTTCCCCAGCTAGCCCCAATCTCAAGTTGGACAACTGTCAAGTTTCCACATTTCCCCCATTCTAACCTCCCGGAATAATTGGAAAATTTATTTATTTTTAGCCGTGAAATGTTTCATTTTGCAAAGCTGGATGTGTTTGGCTTCTCAATAAGGCTGTGCAAACCACAGAAGTGAGATACAGCATAAAGAGGAAATCTTATTTTAAGGGATGGTGAGGAGATTTACAGAGGCTGTGTGATTTCTCATGGTCTTCTCATCCTGAAAAATACTTTCAAAGCATGTATGAGAAACGAAAATGCATGAACGGATTGGAATTAAACCTCCTTATTATGTTTGGATTGACATTTGACTGCTCATTCAAATAAAATCATTTTGCATGCCGTGATGGTTTTGGAGCTTTTCTGTCTTTAGCCTCTGCAAAGTAAACAGACAGTGTGACATTTCCATCTTGAATACATATAGAGGTAAGATGTGAGAAGAGCCACTGGTTCTTATAATATCTCTCCCAACTGTAAATTCTCATTTCAACCTTTTCCGTAAGATATCTTCAATGTCTTTAGCATAGAAACATGAGTCTCCTGGAGGATGTAACAATATTATAGGTTCATGTACATGACTTGTCTAGTCGACGTCATATTATGCAAAAACATAGTGAAGTAAAAGTAAACGTTTGGTTGACATTGAGAAATTTTTTATTCATTCAGGTATTGCATATTAATTTTTGCTCACACATAATTTTTTAGTATTGTACATTAGGTCGAAACCGTTAGTTCTTGTCCATGTAGCATGACCTAGATTAGTTAGAAAAGTTATTTATTAGCATTAACTCCGATAACAGATCTGAGACAAAATCCCTTTGTAATATAAAGCTTTAAACTGTTTCACCATGTATAGCCAACAACACAAAACTTCATTGGGACATTTAATGCACTGAGCAATAAAATCAATTTTTTTTTAGCATTTGTGATGTTTCCACGTTATGATGTAAAAGCTCATGAACACACTAAAGTGTGCAGGTTTCGTTTCAATAACCACTGAAACACGTAAAAGGGGGTTTGGGGATCACCTGCCAGAAAATTCTGAGTGTCAAACACATAATTTCCTGCATTCTGGTGAATTTTTATGTAGCAATTTGTGCCTTCTCTGCAGCTATTTATGATGTAAATGTGTTCAATTTTATGAAAGTAGAAGTCCTCTGCTACTTTAATGTTTTTTAATGTTCTAAATATTGAGGACATGTCACTTGTGTCCCAGCCAAAATTGATGCATATGAACACACAAAAGTTGGAAGGTCGACTCAGAAAAAGGGACCATCCAAAGAGCATGTGAATGCAGCATAAGATACTAAACCTCAGCTGCCATTGCCATACAAAAGAATCCAGTCCAATCCAACTTTAGCGCCTCCTAGTGGTACAGTGGCAGACAGCAATGCAAAAATGCTAAGTTTTAACGAGATCTCATTTTTCTACAAACTTCAGAATAAATAAATAAAGTGAAGCTGATAATGATAGTAAGTTTAAAAAATAGCAATGCAAGTGATTTTAAAAGGCTGATCCTACCATAAAGAAACCAAAAGCTGGTTTTGAACCCGAACAAAATGTGCTCCTAAAGTTTAGAGAAGCATTTTAGTTTGCAAACGGTCGAAATACACAGCTTTGATTCAATAATAATCAACACTTCAAGCAAAAATAATTATATAATTTATCATTTGAGAGCTTGGAATACAGAGATCAGGAATCTATGAATACTTAACATGCAAACAAAAAATGCTAGCTGTCAGAATGTAGTTGTTTGTGCCGTGATGGGGCACAAAACAGCCTCTCTAAATGATATCTTAAAAGCTGAGCACAGAGGAAAGGTGTGTTCAGATGGACTTTAAAGCGACCCCTTGGTGAAGGATTGATCACATACAAACTTCTTGACAACTAACTTCCTATGTAGGCTATTTTCTTATCATCTCTGTCAATATTTGCATGTTTTTGGTTATTATGCATTCCATGTTTTTTTTTTTTTCATGCACGAAGGTGCCAGAGCGTGTTTATGTTCCCACAAGATGAATTCCCTTTGAAGAATTAACGATTGATGTGTTCTCCTTTGTTCCACTGCCATCCATCTATCTCTCTCCCCCCTCCCTTTTTAAACATCGTTCTCTCTGTCCGTCCCTCTCCCGTTCCTATCTCCCCTCATCCCTCTATCCTTCCCTAAATTCACCCTGTTTCCTCTGACGTTTTAGTCCACCTCTGTTCCTTCACCCCTGCCTCATTCTCTCAGTTCCTCCATCCACCCCCTCTCCTCTTTCCTCCACCATCATCACCTCTTCTTGCCTCTTGCCTGATCATATTTGATTTATTTTGTTTTTCCAAAGTGTGTTAAATGAACTAAACAGAGCTAAATGACATCCCTCCCCTGGGCTTGCGTCTCTCTTCTCGACCCAGTCGATGCTAATTTCTGCTATTTTTTTTCTATTTCCAAACTGTCTTTGTACGTGACTGCTAAAAAATGTACAACAAAAATGCATGTGACCAAATCCCATGAACCCGATCACATTAAACTTAACATCAGACTTATTTTACATGACAGGAAGTTTTGTTCAGAATGTACTTTTGATTCTAGAACTAATAATTAATAGAAATTTTAAATATTGACCCCCCCCTGTGTAATATGCCAGTGTAAAGCTTTGAGCACAAACATCTTTCTTCCATGTCGACTCATATATTTGAGCTATTGCACAGCTGTTGTTTTAAAATTGATAAATAACACACTACATAAATATTTTCAACATTTACAACCCTTCTGCCTCTTCCAGCTGGCACCCAGGTTGGGATCTTGCTGGAACAGCTATACTAAATATAGATACTGACTACAAGATATTTTAAATTATTTTTTATTTTTTTCTAGCTTTTCTTTCTCACCATCTAGTTCACCTTCTTAATGATCTATAAACTCTGGTTTTGATGGTGGTTATTAACAAGTCTCCCACTTACAATCATGGATGTGCGCACAGTAGTGGGGTAGAAATCCCATTACCACAATGTAATGACAGCACATATATGGACATTTTCAAAAGTCTATAGTCAGGCTAGCAGCTCTGTCAGGCTTTACTTAGGCACAGTGAGCTTAATGCTAACATCAACATGCTCACAGTGGCAATGCTAACATGCTGATGTTAAACAGGTATAACCATGTTCACCATCTCTGTTGCCGTTGTTAACATTTGCAAATTAGCACTAAATACAAAGTAAAGTTGAGGCTGGCGAGAATGTTGTTACTTTTGCAGGTATTTGTCCATCTAAAAAAACAAATTGAATTTTAGACCTGATGATGGTGCAAGATAAAAAGTCAGAGGATTACTTAAGTTATTACAGTTCATCCAGAGGGGGACATGAATGTCTGAACCACATATAATAACAATGCATCAAATAATTGTTGTGATAGCTCGTAAACTACAAAATGTCAACCTCAGGGTGGTGCTAGTTAATCTCAGGTTTTTGCACTAAGTCCCAAGTCAAGTCTCATGTCTCAAGCTTTGAGTTTCGAGTCCTAATCAAGTCATAATGCACTCTTCACCAGATGTAGCTGTTAAGTTAATGTTAGCTAAGCCTTAGCTTCTGAACTATGTTAATATTAGCCATGACTTAACTGTTCTTAGTGGAAATTGAAATGACAAAGTTGGAAGTTGTTGTATTTCTGTCTGTAATTTTGTAGTTTTCAGCCCACATATTTTGCATGCTGCAGTTTGTTTTCTGTTACTCCCGCAAAGGTTTGTACACAAATAAAAAAAAATTTGACAAATTTTTCCAGCTGGCTTTCAGTAATGTAACATCAGTTCTTCATGGTTCTCTCCTGCAAATGGAGTGGCTGCTGTCAGATTGGCTCAAACAGAGTGGATCTGGGGAATTAGGTGTCAACTTGTTGGGAATAAATAGCCTTAACATTAGTTGATTCGGGAAATGAAAGGAAATTAATTGATTCGTGGCACACTTTTTAAATAACATTCTTTTTAATCTATGGGCTTGTAGGGGAAGGTGTCACATGTTCTCCAATCAAAAGGCTCTTCAAGTCCAAGTTAGGTCACAAGTCATTAGGGTTAAAGTCCAAGTTAGTTTCAAGTCTTTTTGGATTTCTCTCACGTAGAGTCTAAGGTATCAAATTTGTGACTGGAGTCCGACTTGAGTCTAGGTCATGTAACTCGAGGCAACACCTCTGCCTTAATGCCAGCATTTTTTTCTCACCTAATTTTGTGAAAAACTATCCACTACCTTTTTGATATCCAGTGCTCTGATGAGATTGCTAGATGTTAGAAGCTAAGGTTTTCATCCATTATATCTGTGATTTCTGCAGTTTAAGGCAGATTTGTTTTCATCTCACTGCATGCAAGCCAATCCCACGGTGATATCTCTTGGAAACCCATTTGTAGAAATGATACTTTTCCTGCAGCTGTAATTTTAAGAAATTCTACTTCACTTTGTACTTACCGTCTGCATGTCTCCTCCAGTTGTCCTCCAGGCCTGCAGCTTGGTCCTGTTCCCCATCAAGTTCATCGAGAGCATCAACCTGAGGATCTACCATGAGTTCAACTGGGGCTATGGCCTGGCCTGGGGGGGAACCATCTTTTCCTTCGGTGGGGGAATCCTCTATTGCCTAAACCCCAAGAACTATGAGGAGTATTACTAGCTCCATTTCAAGCTGAGAACCCCACATGTTGGGAGAGGTATTCAGGGGGCGAGCATGGGATTTTGATTTTTTTTTTTTTTTTTTTTGTCTTTAATGGCTCAGTTAAAAGAACTGTAAGGAATACTATAAACTGTATTTGAGCCAATAACTGTATCGCCACAAGCTTCGCTCCTGGGGTGAATTCAGGTGGTGAAGCTGGCTTATTTCTTTTCCTGCTTCAGTCACCAGAGAAGTGAGCACTGAGGCTACATGTTTGAACTTACAGTCAGCGTCACCAGGTCAGTCCTGGGGAGGGGTTGAGGGTTGGGAAGGAGTCTTACTATTCTATTCCTAGGACTTGTGAGAACTGACAACCCTGCAGTAGCAAAGGATGGAGGTTTATGGTAACAATCCGTCCTTTCTTGCCTGTGAACTAAACTGCAAGTCATCAGTAACAACCCAGCTTACTGACTCTGTTACTTAGGGAACAGGATGTCTGACTGGGAGGCTTGTACTGCACGTTTACGCACGCATGCACATGCAGAGGCACGTGTATCTTCACCTGTCAACATCATGTCCTCGGGCTGGGCTTCAAAAATCTGCCCCCCCCCCCAGACTCCTGCTCCATCCGTGCATCATTGTCAGTGCTTAGTTAGGAGTTGTGGCATTTTGTTTTTCAGAGTCCTCTGGAGCGCTTAAACTTTCAGAAGGACATGGAAGAGGATCAGACGCTCCGGTTGCACTTCATAACTTTTCATAAGACAGATAGATTCCTCCTGGGGGGGGGGGGGTAATACAGTAAAGACACCCGCTCAATATTCTGTTATCGACCCACTTGTCTGTTACCGCGGCAACCCACGGGGTGTGCACATGCAGCTGTCATGATTGATTAGCCATGGTTGGAGGTGTGAGACGGGACTGCGCTCAGCTGCCTCCAAGGGTCTGCTAAATGTCGATTCCCGATGAGGCGAGTTTCTCCGCACCATGACGTTCGGAGCATCCTTCCTCCTCCTGTCCAGCTCCTCTCCATCCTGCTTGTCAATGTCAATGGGAGTGTCTGCTACACACACCACAGACAGATACAATCTCTCAGTGGACGTGTTTACATGCACATCAATAGTTTATGAAAGTTAGTAGGTAAAGCTGACACCTTCTGATTGGTTGGTCGACCAAATTCTTGCTGAATTAGCTTCTGGCGGCTGTGATATGGAATGTCCACATAAGTAAAAATGTTAGCACAAGGTAAAGAGAAGGCTGAAGCACATAGGGAGAGAAGACAAACCCACCAGTCTGTGTGGCCAACATCATTGCCCATCCCCCCCCCCCCCCCCCCCCCCCCCACTGTGGTTGTGGTTCACCACTTTGTATTGGCCCTGTCCCTCCTCCACTTGTACTCTTTGAAACCAAAATTAGCGTGTATATGCAGACCAGAGCATGAATGTATGACGCAGTAGATAAGTATGCCTTTCTTTCTTTCTTTTTTTTTTTTTTTAATTTTGTGTCACCTTTGGCGTCACAGACATGCCAGAAAACAGTTTAGTGAACAGTCGAAAGCAGCATGATGGCCAGTAAAAATGTCACAGCTTTTATCTCTTTTTATATCTGTCATTCATTCAGTATTTCTTTCAAACTCTGTACAGACTCATTTTGAAAGACATCAGAGTAAGGACGGACCTGTCATTGCAAAGCACCAGAAAAGAGCTGAAAATTAGTGCATCCACCAGAGTATTACGTCACTGCTAATCAGAGCTGATCAGGGCTGGAGCTGTTGAATGCAGAGTTATTTGTCCCAGGAATGAACGCCGAATGTAACTTTTCCCATTAAAGGCAAAAGGAAGGGGAAGGGGGAAGGGGCTTATGATTGGATGGCGAGGTAAAAAGTTACAGTGACAAGCTCAGTGTTTACCCAAATATCATTCTTTGATGTTTAGTTGCACAGGTACCCAGCTCACATTTTAGTCCCCTTATAATCTAAAACAGTATTTCATTCGTGATAACAGGATTGCAGTCAAGGACACAATCAGACAGTAGCTCTAGGTATGAGCAATCGATGCATTATTGTGTGCATGTAAACATGGCAACTGAAGCCGACTATTTATAAACAGCATCAGTGTATCTACTGATAAGTTTAGGCCACGCTTCATTAACACCAGACTGCTGTCTCCTTGTCTACAGTAAATGTCAGGGACTGGCCCTGCACCCAGAGTGTGTAGATTTGGGTGGAAAACGAGCCTGGCATGCGTCTGTTGGCACGGGTAAAGCAAATGTCAATATCAGCCAGTGTCAAATGTCAATATTATTAGATGTTAGTGGAATTCAGACACATGAAGACAAGAAGCAGGACTGTATCATACATTAAAAGCATCACCACCTTACAGAAGAGAACATCTGATAATCACTGCTTTCATGCCCCACCTTGCTGCTTTGAATTGAAACAGTATTTATCTAATTTCCTCTGTTTCCCCTGCCCTCAGGGTTTGGCTCTAATCACCAGTTGTTTGGGTGGTAGCCATGGGTCCAGTGCAATTTTAGGGTGTAAATACAGATGGAGAAGCAAATATTGTGACCTCCATACAGATTTTATTGGGCGATAAAGCAGGTGATAAAGCTAATTTTTGCTTTCATTGTGCAAAATCCTATTTATGTTTTCTCTTAGCTGAAGCCCTGTGTGCTGAATTACTTCCCTAACCTGGTGACCTCCATTCTCCCTTCAGAACACATTCAAAGTGCACAGGTAGTGGAATGTAAAATAAGAATTCTCCAGATGACATTTTGGAGACACAAGCAGCGTCTTTTCTGTAGCTCTCCATTGTCACATATTTACCGTGGAGCTGTCAAGCAACCATCACCCAAAAATAGCATCCAGGCTGCCTCCCTCGCCACCTTAATAAATGTGGGACCGAGCAGCCACCATGCGATTCATGCAGCTGACAGAAGTCCATTTATTTTATATAAACTGACACGATGATGTTTAGCACAGACAGAATCATGTCCTCTGTTGTCGATGGGTTCTGCCTGTTACTACAAATATCAGCTTATTCAAGTTGTTCACGACTGAGAGCTGATGCGACTAGAAGATGGCTTCTGTCATGCATGAGATTACAGCATGCGAGTTACAGTGCAGTGATTTCATATATATACAGGGTATCAGTACTTACCAGGTTTCTATAACAGGATAGATATGTCATAAATAGGTAAGACGACAAAAGGTTAGGGAATTAGGGGGTTAAAACTTTGTATTTAAGTGGGATAGAGGGGGTAGAGTGATATTGTTTCTGAGTAACAACAAAGAAAAAATGGGTCAAAAAGAGTTCCAGTACCGATACTGAAATTAGTTATCTTATCATTTATTTTTATACAAATAAACTGGAAAAACATTGTAAAGTTTTGGAACACTTATCATTAAAATATATTATTAAAGGAATTGTTTGACATTTTGGGAAAATAATTTTCTTGTCGCGAGTTACTGATAGTTGAGAAGATCGATGCCACTCTCATGTCTGTACACTGATATGAAGTTGCAGCCATCAGCTGGTTAGCGTAGCTTAGCATAATATGAAGACTGGAAACACAAAGTTCCCACAGTCATGGAAAACCTGGAAATGTCATGGAATTTAACGTTGTAGTTTTTAAGGCCTGGGAAAGTCATGGAATTAGTAAAATATTTGAAAGTTTTGGAAAAGTCATGGTATTCTGTTGTGTGTGTGTGTGTGTGTGTGTGTGTGTGTGTGTGTGTGTGTGGACGTAATGTAACACAGCACCAAATTTATTTTATGTACCTGTTGACAAATCGTAGCTCTAATATGTGCATACGAGTGGCAGCCATAGGGTAGACATTTTGTTTACCATCATGTGGGTTTCTTCACTTTCTCCCCATATTCTGTCTCTTCATGTACTCAAATTTGCAGAACTATGTATGAATAGAGTTTGTTTGTTTAAAAAGGAGAAGAATATTTTTTGTGATAGTGTGATTTACCATGTAGGATCATGAATCCCAAAGTTTCCATACCTTTGCTTTGCCCCACTAATGTTTTTAAATTATACTGCATTTTTGAGATGGAGGGATGTTCATATTATAAATGGTGAATGAATGGGCATGGAAATTTCATCATGGGTCCTTGAAAAGTAATGAAAGAGTTTTGAAATTTTGTCCATGAAAATGTTTGTGAACCCTAGCAACAATGGAAAAGGTTTCTGTTTCACTGACAAACTGTTTCCCCAAGTCTGTATGTGAACAAAAGTTAACCAGCTGTTTGGCTGTAGCTTCATATTTAGTGTAGAGACATGCAAGTAGAATCCAACTTGTCATCTAACGCTGGGTGAGAAAGACAAATGTCCAACTACTCTTTGACAGTCTAAATTATTGTTGCTTGGAACAAAACATTAAAAAGCACAGTAAGGTGAGTGTACCAATATACCTATGCTCAAAAGATTTATGTATACTGAGGAACAGTGGTGTAGCTTTGGGATCCAGTGGAGGATTTATTCGACAAACAAAACTTTTCTCAGAGAAGAGCCCAGAGCAGCTTCTAGATAACCCCTTAAATATTGTCAGTGGTACCCTGCATATACGAAATATTTACACTGTAATTTGCTGGCTGTAATGTAAAGCGGTACTAAAGAGTAAACTTGTGGGCAGGATGTAGCAGAACCACTTAATCCCACTTCACAAGCCGTTTCAGGCTGACATTAACCTCATGCTGTAAATTCACAGTGTATATTCTCATTAGTTGTATTGATCTGATGGATGTTACATGAAAGTAGGGTCATCTGAGGTAAAGAAAATACTTAACTTCAAAGCTTTTACATTGATTTTTTTTTTTAAGTGACTGGATGTCGCAGTTAACCCATCTTTATATTTGGCACTGAGTGAAAACAGAAACAGCGCTCACTGTTACAGCCATTATTCCATTAGTCATACCAGATATATGGGTCAGCGGGTGCTTTTTAGCATGTGACCCGTCTCTTTGGTATTTTATCAGTTTGAAAGATGTCACAGCCTCACCGAGCACCAAGCGGTCAGGCTCCGGTTGCTCAGTGTTCAGTTTTGTTGGGTCAACGGGTTTTCTGTCGGATCATGGACGAAGCACTTTGTGTCACCTGACTCGATGTGTTGTTACTCTATGCGGGCAGAGCGGAAAAGAAGTCCTGACACAATGAGGGAGTGCTATAATAGAGATCATAACCACCAGTATGATATTTGATATGGCCGTCCACTACTGTATTTAATACTGTATTATCACAGTTTAGTGAGGGTGTTTTTGCTACCTAGAAATGTCTCTGTGCTTTGGTGGTGTAGAGGAGCCTTAGGCACTAACACTGTAACAGACCTGGGTTAAAATATACAGGAATCATTTCCAATATCCTAATGTGTATTAAAGGGGAACTCTTGGACCGATGTTTTTGTGTTCAAGTGAATCAATTTGTCACTCAGGGCTGGTACGCCCCATCAATTTACAACCATTAAAAGTGCCACTGACAGGCATAGATTTTTATGATAAGTGTCTTATAACATTACAAAAAGGACCCTACAGAGAAATTAAACATTTTTTTCTGTACCTTTTGCTTGGAGATGTCTCAGTCTGAAATCTCACACTTTTTCACGTTGTCAAAGTCAGCTAAATATTCAGCTGTGACATCTCTCACTTGCTTTTCCATCGTTTTCTCACAACTCACCTCACGTGGGACTTCACAGCAAGTCTCGAATTGAACTCGAGATCCGTTCTGAGGGTCTCAGTCTCATCTTAGACTCAACTGTATTTTTACTCAGACTTGTGATGGTCTTGGACA